CAGGAAACGCACTGACCTAGACTTGGAAGAGACGGAGATGAGCCCCCAGCACCCTAACAGCAAGCAGCAGCCAAGCCACGCGCGTTACAGGAGTGCCTGGAATACTTCCCGATATCGAAACACCTCCTTCAAGGTGAAATGATCTGCACAAACCGCCAATGCTACTACCCTCCATTAATTTCCTTTGACACATGAACCATTTACCATGCAGGCAGGTAAACTCTGCTTGTCTGAATTAAGCGCATTTGTGTGCAGTCCTGCTTTAATCTACATTTCCATAGAAACTTAATTGTGTATTCATCTTCTCATAAAAACAGGATTTAATTCTCACTCAGCAAGTTATGAGGCAGCAGGAAAAAAAATGTTAAAGTAAAACTATTACAACTAGCTTTGTTGCTCTCTGTTTATTTTGGAAATCAATGTAAGTACAGCGTATCTTAATTTAAATATTCTGAATTTAGTAGCAACTTGCCAGTAAAACCCGGTGTATTTGAAATCTTTTTATTTAAATCAAGTTTCTTGATTTGATTGCTACTGAGGCTGTGAGATTTAATTCAATACACAAAGCATAATTCCAACCCTCTTGTGTTAAAAATATTCTTTAAATAAATAATAGATCAAAGCAGTGTCACTTTGATGCCATATGTAGTCCACAGAAGCAGGAGACAAAGGATTAAATGTTTTCAGAGCAGTCCTCCTGGATGGAAGGGGGGGGGGGCGAGTAAACGTTCAGTTATTTTATCTAGATTTACCACTCATTACTTTTCTTATTTGATTCTTCCCTCTTATTAGAGTTCTGCCTTCTAAAGAACCTTCAAGTTCATACAAACTCTGGAGTTTTTACAGCAATGAAGCAAGATGAAAAAAAAGTCATTCCATTCCCAAATCTCAGTGAATCACTTCCTGTAACTACAGTAAAGCTAGGATCCCTCCCTAGGGCTACTCAAGATGATGACTAAGGGCAAAACCCACCATTGCCTGTGTTTTTTCATGATTCACGGGGAAAAAAATCCCACAGATTTACCTGCAACTCAGGCAAACAGAAACTTGTTTTGGTTAACCTTTGAGAATGTCTTAATTTAGAGATAGGCTAGTGTGTTTAAATACAGGTAATGCTTCCCATACTAAGCTTTGACAAGTTAATTTATCAAATTCCAAATAATGGAATGCTTTCCACACTCTCAACTCACACCAAGAGGTATATCCCCTCCAGCCCTCGGGAAACTCTCTTTCAATAGCATCTCGAAGATAAGAGCACATCTGAAGTCAATCAGAGCTGGCTTTCGGAAAAAGGAAGCAAGAGACAAGAAGAGGAAAGTAAAGTAAATTGGGGAATGCAACAGACCCACAGCCAGGTTGAGACCAGAGGGAAGTGACTACGTGTACTTTTAATTTGATTAGCAGCTACAGACAGGCATCAGAGGCCTTGAATGCTGACCAAAACAAGCATGGCTGCAACACAAATTCTGATCACTGAGGAATAATGTTCTAAAGCAAGAAAAAAAGGAAGAAGAAACTTTCTGAAGACAGCTAAAACAACAAGATGAGAAGAATAATTAATTTATAATGCCAGAGAGCACATAAAGCAGTTAAGTGAAATCAGAACAAGGAAAAATATAAAAATCAACAAAAGGTCAGTATACTTCCTGACAGCAAAGGCTGACATATCACTGCGTGTCTTCCCTCACACTACTGTTCAGAAATGCTTCACAATAAAAACCCCGCAAATCTCAAGTTCCTGCATTTTCAGTAAGGTGATTGGTTTTCTGGACAAACCCCTTACACTCAAACTCCCACTTCCAGTTGGTCTACGTGAAAACAGCAGCAGCATGAACTAGCAAGCTGGTTTATGTAACACAGGGTCAAACCACATTATATGAGTTTATGAACCATTTCACAGGATTAAGCTAATTTGAGTTAGTTGGGGGAAAATATTTAACAAACGTCATTTTCCATACAGAATTCCAAACACCCTATCTTCACATCCCTTCCGTCACTGTCTGAAGCTCTGGTAAATTTGCTATATCACGTCAAATGCTAAGAAGACATCCAATGATAGTTAAAAAGTTGAATAAAATACAAAACATGAAAAATAACTGTTAAGATTTAAAAGTAATGAGATTGCTCAATCTCAAATCAGCTTCTCTTCCTCTCTTGGATGTCTTTATGTGTTTTCTATATATTCCTATGACCCTGTTCTTAAGCAAAAGGTAATTATACACAAAGACAACTTTGTCCAAATGATACCTGATAAAGCTGTGCAGATACAAATGACATGTGACCAGCACTGCTGATCCTGATATAAAGAAAAATTATTTGATTCAAGCTGACAGTGAAAACAGAAGGCCTAAACAGAAAATTTCAGATTTGCTCTTATTTTCTTCATTTACAAAACTAAGACTCAATATCTTGGAGAATGAATTCATTCAGGCCTGATTTCGCCAAGCTCATTCACAGCGAGTGAAAAGCACCCCGTTCACAGCACAGAGGACTCTTAGAAGAAGAAACTGCAACTCCACAGGAGTAAGGACATCGGAACTGGGCTGGGATGCTCACTGTAACCACTGCTCTCTTCTTCACTGAAATGATTCTCTTTGGCTGTAACATGCATATGAAATGTTTAAAAACAAATGCAGAGAGGATAGCTGATTACTACCACTTTACTCACGCTTATGCTGATCAAGATAATCAATAGGTTGCACAAGTCAATGTCATTCCCAGTTTAGAAAATGACAACTTTGCAGATCAGGAAATAAGTGAACAGGAAGCTTCACAGGAAGGCAGAGGGATCACTAAAATAGACAAGCAAGCTCATCACACCTCCACAGTCTACTAGAGAAAAATCACTGCTTTGCCAAAACCCTTTAAAGAAGACATACCACAAAACTTTGTGTTCTGTGGCTCATTTAAATTACATCCAAGAAAATCCTCAATTCAATCCATTAATGATCTGCCAAGTCAAACTTTCAGTGCGTGATTGTACTCAAACTATTCTGGTTCAGCCAGAGCCCTCCCCAGAACTTCTGAGCTATAACCATTTAGGTGAACGCCCCTCTAGGAACATTTAGACACGTGTGTCCTCATGCCTGGTCGTGATGCCTCTGGAATGAAACTACAGGGTGGAGTTTCAACAACAGTTCCCAAGTTATTCCACAGTATTGCAAGAGGGATCATAAACATAACAGACATTTGGTCATCAAAAAACCTTCATACATATGCATAAACACAAAGTTATGAGCAAACCAACTTTGAGACCTCAGAAATCCTGTAACCCAAAGCAGATTCCAAGAACAGAATGAGTGGAACTGATTATCCACGTTTGTTTGCTTTTAACTCAAAACGTTTGAGCTGGGACACAGACGCAACACAGGATTCAAGAGCCCCTGGCAGGGAACTTTCTTTGACACACTTGGCTTTACCAGTTTAACACGCAACATTATTCAAACACAAGAGAAGCACCTTGCTTTAATACAGTAAGCGCTTCCTTTAATAACTATTTCCTGTCTCCAAATCACATAATCTCAGTTTCCCCACACACAAAGAACGCCTTAATTTTATATTCCACATAACATGCTGGTGGCAAGCTTCAAAACCACAAAACTTCCGTGCATCTTCACCACCAGACAACTGTAATGACTACATTTACCGCACCCTGTGCTTGCATCATTAACCTGCTGGTCCAGAGAGCTCTTTAAGACCTCATTAATTTTATTGTCTTTCCTGAAAAACACCAAGTACCCAAATTTCATTTAAAGATCTTAAATGAGGGAACTACTCAAAGGGCGTATTACCATGAGCTCGGAATTCGTCCGTTTGACCCATCTGCATGTTTGCTTCCCCTATTACCACAACAGACACACGAACTATCAGATCAAATGCCCAGTGTTTCACCTGAAAACAGACCGCTGTTTGAAGTACAGCAGTCCTCTGAGCACTTATTCCTCCCTTTCCCCCCTCTCCTCCTCCAAAACCCATCCTGCCCTTGAGCATTACCCGGTCCTTCATCCTCCAGCTCTGAGCCAAAGACTTGGAGCCTTCGATCTTCTCACAATGCCTTTTCTTCATAAAAGCCAGAGGCAAGTTCCAGTCAGTCAGGTCAGACTCATCCTCCTCCCCAAGCCCCAGAAGAGGCGACTGCAGCATCTCAGACTCCATCAGAGGAGAAGTGCCAGGCAACAAGTGAGCAGCAATCTCCAGCCCAGCACGCAGCGGGGGCCGAGGGATCCCTCCGGCAGGAGGGGGCGCGGACACGGGCTGGCGGGGGAGAGGACGGGGCAAGGGCAGAGGGAGGCTCCTCTCCCAGGTGTGCAGGTAAGGACGAGCCCGGGGGAAGCAGCACCTTC